TTTGTTGGTCAGATGTTGTATTATTAAACTAAATCGGCAAAGTGACAATAGTTGGCAAATAAACGTAAAGATATAAAAAGTACAACCGTGAAGTAGAAGACACAAGTGACTCAGAATTGTACTTGAGTAAATGCACGTTCCACCACTGCAAGCAAGCGTTTCTTTATTTAGACCACTGCGCACCACCGTCCAGTAGAAACGCCTCACAGAGGAAGAAGATGATGTATTATGTACCACGCTAATGACAGCAGCCTCTTCAGATCACAACACGATGCAGCTGCACAACCGGTTGCGGTTTGAGTCATTTGTATTAACTGGAAAACCCCCCGAAGTACCGTCACCGCGGCCATTTCGCACCTGAACAGTTCTCGTGAGGTTGAAATAGCGAGGATTTGGCGCCATTTTGTTGGATCCAGTTTAAGGGTGCACTGTAAAAAACGGAAGCTCAAAGCACTTTGTAGCTGAAACAGTTTGAAAACTGTACAGATATTTGGAAAACTTGTAAAATCACAGCTATTATGGTTTGTTGACAGCAATAAAAACAAAAAACAAGACAAACCAGGCTAAAACTGGAAATAAAAGTAACTAAAAATCCATAAAAATATCTCCTTTTATTTGAAAGAAAAGTTATGTATATGGGGGACTGAAAATCAGTTTTTTAACTGAACTGTTAAACACAAAACATTGAATCAAATCATCAACGGGCAAATAAAGGCTCTCAGGCAAAACATATTCCTAGAAAGCTCTGTGCAGTTCCTCAGTGGAGCACATTAGTCCTCCTCCACATTAAACAGTTCATTTGCGAGCAATTAATTGCAGACTGGTGCAACTGAAGAGACTCAGGGGTTTTGCTGCTGCAGTCTTTCTTGGTCTGGACCGTCCAGTGACGTACTTTGACTGCTGTGAGCAAACTCAATTGCTGCATAACTGAGATTACTGAGCCAGCTTGCTCAATTTTAGAATTTTAGACTTGTGTCACTGTTACGCTGTGTTTTACCAATTATGCTGAAGTTGTCTCTCGTGGCCGAAGCAGCTAATTTTCAGCAAAACATGCACACTTTGAAAGAAATCCTGAAGAGCAACAGCGATTAAAAAAAAAAAAAGATTTAAAGTTTCTCTTGTTATTGGAGGAGGTGCATCTTTTAGGGTCTTGTTTATCAAGAACAGAAGAAATTGACAAGAAGGTCACATTGATATAAGTGTAGGGTGCTGCACGACACTTAATACACAAATATTCCTGATTAAATGAGCTATAATTGGACCTAAAGTTTAAAGCTAATCTAATCTTGTCTGGTGCTCTGACATATGTGACAATGCATGCCGATAAAGCGCAGACAAAACATTTTCGATAGAGTTTCGTTTAGCAAAATGTAGACTCCACGCTGCAGCGCACATCAGGTTCCTGGGAGTGGAACAAATGAGGAGGACCCATGTTTAGAGCCTGATGACAGACACACTGTGAGGTCAGTGGAGGCTGAGGCGCCACTCCCAGCGCCGAGGACACGAACATGGAGGAATGTCAGAGTAAAACAGTCTGGACTCAGCGCAGGAATGCGGCTAGGAGAGCAAATCTGAGGTCTGATAGGAGGCAGAAAAAAACCAGAGAGAGAGAAAAAAAACAGTGTTCAGCAGATGATTTGAGCAGATGTAAATGTGCTGTGGCGAGCGTGACCACAGTGCAGTCATTATTTGCGGTTTCAAATTGTGTTTTCATGACTCGAGTTGTTGTTTCTGCCATTCATAAAAACACAATAACAGCATTGTGTGCCTCTGAAAATGGTACGTAGGAGGACGGAGAGTGTTTGGATGTTGCCCTCACGTGGTTGTGTCTCGTACTTCTGCTGCTTACTAACTGTTTTGACGTCTTTTTCTTCTTGCAGTTTTCTCTGCCAGGGCAGCTGAGGAAAATCTGAACAAGTGACTTTGTCTCTCATCATCGGTTACAACCTCTCATCATGGCAATAGTCCTGCACTCCAGCCCCCTGCTCTGGACTCGGGTGGCGGCCCTGGTCTTCTCCTGCGTGGCCTTCTCCGTGGCCGTGCACGGTGGCAGACTCTACCACGGCACTGGAGACTGGTGCATCTTCTGCTGGGCCTTCAGCTTCGCCGGCACTCTGCTCGTCTTCCTGGTGGAGCTGTTTGGCCTGCAGACCCGAGCCCCTGTCTCCTGGAAGAACTTCCCCATCACCTTCGCCTGCTATGCTGCCCTCCTCTGCCTGTCCGCCTCCATCATCTTCCCCCTCTACTTCCTCAAAGGTTCCTCCAGCCCCAATGAGACCCGCGACTTCCGCATCGTGTCCACCGTCTTCTCCTGCCTCGCCACCATCGCTTACATGAGCGAGGTGAGCATCAGCAAGGCGCGTCCGGGCGAGGTCGCCGGCTACATGGCCACGGCGCCCGGCCTGCTCAAAGTCTGCGAGACCTTCCTGGCCTGCATCATCTTCGTGTTCATCAGCGACCCCGTGGTGTACGAGCGTCACCACGCGCTCAGGTACTGCATGTCCGTCTACTGCATCTGCTTCATCCTGTCGGCGGCCATCATCCTGCTCTGTGTTGGCGAGTTCACCGGCTGCCTGCCCTTCCCGTTCGCCCGCTTCCTGTCGGCCTACGCCCTGCTGGCCGTGGTCCTCTATCTGTCGGCGACCATCATCTGGCCCATCTTCAACTTTGACCCCAAGCACGGCGGAAATAAAGACAGGCCATACGGCTGCAGCTCCATGATGGGGCTGTGCGTCTGGGATAAGCTCATGGCGGTGGCCGTGCTCACCGCCGTCAACTTCCTCCTCTACCTGGCCGACCTGGTCTACTCCACCCGCCTGGTGTTTGTCAGCGCTTGAGGGAAAAGCGAGAGAGCGAGTTAGACCAGCAGTATGCTCCACATGGAACTGAATTTGGCCACTTTATTAATTGAACTGCTGTCAAATACACTGCTGCAAGTGCATCCTAGTGCACTCCTGTAGCTGTGGGTCATGATTGGGGTAACAAAAAACAACTTGTCCAAATCTATTGTGGCTCAGTTTGTTGTTTAAAATAAAATAATTTAATATTGTTTTTGCATTGCTACAAATAAACCACAGGAAAAGCAGATATGACCCAAAATAACCTGGTAATGGTTGACCAGCAGACATGTTCGGCTGGTCGTACGCCAAATCTTGTGCTCTTCTAACTTGCCAAATTCAATTTCGTGTGAAGTATGCTGCAGAACCAAGGACCTTAGAGAGAGAAGAAGAAGGAGGTCAATGGCCATGTTTACACGTCCAACAATATTTCTTCAAATTACTGACATTTTCTGTCCATGTGTTCTTTCTTTTGTTTTGTTTTGTTTTGTTTTTTTGCATCCAGCGACCCGAATAGACTCTTGTCCTGATCATGAGAGACCTGAATGTGTTTGCTGGAACGTGCTGATGTTTCCCATTTTAATGCATTTTTAGCAGTTGTAACGACAGATCAGTTCCCATTTAAGTACAGAAATAAAAGGATTGTTTTACGCATGCAGGAATGTTTGCTGTCTGGATGTGAGTTAACTAATGATGCATTCTCCACGATAGGACTCTGACGGGGACACAAGCTAACAACCAGAATACTATGTGCATGTAAACATAGTCTGTGATGGCAAAAGGAAAAAAAAAGTTAACGGTGGCTTTTTATTATTTTTATTTGTTTTTTGAAAAAAGAAAATGTGCATAATGTATGTCAATGCGCTGCCCTAGCTCGTTTTTATTTCTAATTTGATATAAAAAAAAAAAGACAGCTGCCAATGGAAGAAAAACGTAAGAAAATAATGAATATTAGGAAGTTACGTTTAAGTTTACTGTTGGAGAAAATAATTGCATGCCTCCTGATTCTAAACTTTACATTGATGTAACTGACAATTCAATGTTCCTAAAGCAGCTAATAGGGTTGTATTATTCCTTCGTCATTATTACATGCTCCAAAAATGGTTCCAAAGACTTGAAGTAGTGCTAAAATAGTTTACATGATAATAAGATGAATGCTCAGCTAGCTTTTGCTCCTCTTATGATATATGTGTATCTGCAAGCTACAATCAATGGCAAGAATATATATGTGGAAAGTACATATGCAAGATTGTGGGTTTATGGTTAAAGTGCACTTATTATTTGTATTATTTTGTGTCTGCAAATATCAAAGCATCTAGTAACACCAAACTCTCGCCACTGAATTCATTGATTGTCGATCGGGTCTATTGGTTTTGTACTGCTGTAGAAATACTCAGAGAAAGTGATCAAAAAGATGCGTCTGTCCTTTTAGATGTTGTTATACTCTTTAACTTTTTTTTTTAATATATTCCACTGTCCGTGTCTCAAGTGTGCAAACCACATCAGCGTTTTAGGAAAATGTAACCAATAAAACCACATGGTAAACAGATGTGTATGTGGTTGTATTATGTTATGATTTGGTTTGGATAAAGATCCCACATGGCCCACTTCCAGGATTTTTTTTAAAAACCATAATAGAGGCGCAGCTGTGTCTCAATGTCAGTCAGTTTACTACTTAATCCAGACTAAAATGTATGTCAACAGCTTTTCCAAGCAGTGAAGGTTAGTGCAGATATTTAGGAATGTGGTGACTTTGGTGAGTTTAGTGAGGAGAAAATGTGATGCTGAAACTAAGAACACAACAAACATTATACCCAATAGCTGTACATAAAAGATAGACGTAGCCATAATGATGTCAACTATAGGTCTGTGAATTTTGAAGCCTTGAGTTTAGAATTTCACCATTTTTTGTCTTTTGAAACCAGATATGATGAGCAAGAGGTTAATGATATCCCTAATGCATGCAATTCCTGTAGCAACTTGTCAATAACAAGTTGCTGAAACATAGCCTGCTTTGCTGTCTATTCTACTCTAAATGGAACCAAAATGTACAAAACAAACATCATCCTGCACTGAAGGAGACTTTAAACTAACAATTGAGACCATGGGTTCGCGAGAAGAATGTTTACTGAGGTTACAAATCAAGTTAGAAATTGAATTATTGTCTCATAAGGCTTCTACACAATGCAAATTCTTCTTGCAGCCAGAGGAGACGCCTCCTGCTGGCTTTTGGACAGAGTGCAGGTTTTAGTCTCCTCTGCTTTAGCTTCAAGTTTCAGGCCCGGAGGTCACATCCATCTTATGCAGTCTATCATTACACCTCATTATGTCATTGTGAGAATGCTAGCATGGAAATGTTGGCATTTACTTCAAAGGAGCTCTGACAGATAGTTAAACTATCATGTTGTTAATATTTACACTGAAGTAAATGTGAGAATCCACACCATGGTTTGCTTTCAACTCACAGTTTTGGCAACCTTTTTCTGTTAAACTGCGGTCTGTAATTGCGCTGTATGCATGTAAAAAAAATGCTCTCAAGTTATATAAATGAAGCTTCAAAAAGAAAAGATTGCTCCACCTCAAAGTAAACGGACTATAAATCAGCATCGGCTCTATACACACTATTTATACTCCCCTGTTTACTTTATCTCTCGCCACATTTTCTGCTTTCTCCGCCTCCTCCCTTCTCAGCCAAACTCCCTCCTGCTCTAAGACTGGACTCCAGGACGAGGACCAGGGACCTCCACGGTTCAGAGAGCTTTCACTAAGAGCACAGTCAACACTTCAGTCGCCTTTGACTCTATGACCCGGAAAGGAGACGCCCAGTTCTGACACAATGACATGTCGCTGAGTTTGTTTTACTAAAGGAAAGGCATGTACGTTCTGCTATGGGAAAGTGGCTACTAGCAGCAAGCAAGTTAAGAATTAGAGTATCTGGATGTGACAGCAGGAACACCATGACTCACCCTCATCGGGACGCGTTGAGGTTTGGCTTCCTGAAAAAATAACTTTCCTTGTAATGAAACAGAATGAAAAATGATGACAAGAAAAAAAAATGAAGCAAACCAAAACCGAGAACACACAGTGTGATGTAATTGAACAAATTTGAAATACTGAGCAGTACAGCACTATTCAGCTGTGGCTCACAACAGCTCAGTAGAAGACAGAAAGTGTCACCTGTGGGATTTGAGTGAAGCAAAAAGAACACAATCGTGACATTTCAAGCTAAAGCTCATCTTGACTGTTTCCTCTTGAATGTTGTTGACTGTTTAAAAATTCATCTGCTGGAAGTGGAAAGTTTGAGCTCACCTAAAACCTGAGGCGTGTACCTGCGAGGAGGATTTGTGACCAATCACAACCAGACCAGAGGCCAGTTCTGGTCCAGTATATGACATGGAAACTTAAAGTCTGCGTTGCAAAAACACAGCAGGCAGACTTTCATTCATTTCTAAATGAGGAAGGAGGTGCAGGAGTAGTTTCTAGAACAGTCCAGCTGATTTTTCTATTCATGCAAAAGACAAAAGATGTTTTTTTGCATTCATGTGTTATATATTAGAAACAAGCTATTATTTTATTGCTTTAAACACGTCTGAATGAGAGCTTTAAGGGTTTTTTTCACACATGTTGGCTACAAATCTCTTGTTTTGATACAACAGATGAATTTAGATTATGGTGCATGTTTATATATGGAGTCTGAATTGGTTCAAGTTTTATTAAAAGCTTGTTTCATTTGTCAAATAAATGTCACGTTTTCTTGGTTTGACATTTATGCTCGCTGATCTTGCATTTGTTCTTTCTTTTTCTGAGCCTTTTTGGGCTTTGAATAAAAGAATATGATTTATTCATTTGAAAAGCTCAGACCACATTTAATGAATTTCAGGATGTCAATAATAAAAATAATCATTAGACAATAGCCGACAATCTGTCTCAGAGTATGAGTCTGTTTTTTCTTCATATATATGTAAAAAAAAAAGTGATTTAAACATCTTTTGTGGTTCGTTTGTGTGCATTTTAGGCTTCTGTATTATAAAAACATATGCAATGTAAATACATTTACCGCTAACCGTGATTATAAACCTCATACATTTGCTGCTGAGATTGCAGTGAAGTGTTTTTCTCTCCTTCGTAGTAAAACATGTCTGCTGTCTTCTGTCTCTTTGGCCTCATCAGAGTTCATTTTGGCAGGATTCAGTCTCTGTTAGTCTGCTTTTGTTTGTTTTACCCCCGTAAGCTCTGCTGCTGTTGCATACAGTTTAAAGTCCTGTGAGGAGCGACCTTTCTACTCTCCCTAAGTAACTAAATTAATTCTTGGCCCTCCCACTCTGACCCCCAGGAAGAACAATGGCCAAGTCATCAGCACCACAATAGCCTGATACAATCTCAAATGAAAGAGGCCACAGAAGAGAAATCTGCCTCAGACACAGCATCTGGTTTCCACTCTCAGAGCGGATGTGTTGTTCTCGACGCAGCCAAGAGTCAAGTGTGGAGCAACAAGCGCTTGATTGACAACACAATACTTAACTGAGAACATACGACTAATTAAAATAGAAGCACAGATGTTGCTGAGCGCTTGAAGCGGGCCGCCATTTCTGCAGTGGACTGATTTCTAACCTCGTCTCCTTCCAAGAGTTGCAATCGCAAACAGCTGTGCAAACTGTGTGTGCGTAACAAATAAAGCCGTTTTACTGGTTCCCTTATACGCTCATTTTATTTCAACACATTTGTGTCCTCTGAACTTAAAATGACCCTTCACTGTGTGGTAATTTGTTGCTTCCAGGACAGACCGTCACATGGCGAAATCATGATGTTCCCATCAGCTGCTGTTGTCTTTTGTTGTTTTGTTTGTTTGGTTTTCTTGCATAGTGCTAAGCAAACATTAGCTGAAACTGAGATGGAGAACATCCATCCATTCATCCATTATCTATATACCGCTTAACCTCACTGGGAAGGCTGGAGTCTATCCCATCTTACTCAGGGTGAAGGCAGGTTCACCTGGACAGGTCACCAGTCTATCACAGGGCTACACTTAGAGACAGACAACCAAGCACACTCACATTCACACCTACGGACAATTTAGAATCACCAATTAACCTCAACATGTTTTTGGACTGTGTGGGAGGAAGCCGGAGAACCCGGAGAGAACCCACGCTGCACGGGGAGAACATGCAAACTCCACGCAGAAAGATCCCGGGTGTCCTCACCGAGACACCAACTGGGGACCTTCCTGCTGTGAGGCAAAAAAACGAAAAACCATGGTGACATCACTTGTAAATAACAAGGTAGCCTCGCCCTGCAACACATCCTGCTTCCTTGTCAATTTTACTTTAAATGGGGCCATCACATACAAAGTCTGCATCATTATGCATTAAACAAGATTTGAAACTAGTGAATGAGACCATAAACTTCTGAGGAAAATGTTTCCTGGGGCTAAAAATTAAGTGAGAAGTTGAATTCTCACTAACTCCTATACAACCAGACTTCTTTTTGCACCTCCTGCTGGCTGTTAGAAAGAATGCAGGTTCAAGTCTCTTTTGCATTGGATCCTATATCCATCTTATACAGCCATCTACTCGTTGCATGTGTTTTAAAGAGCAACTTCATCAAATCTTAACATAAAAATCATTTTTTTCATCATTAGGTGTAGCACTCAGTCTGTGAGGCAACAAAATGTGGGTTTTTTTAAGCGTTATTTCCAAAACGTTGTCTTGGATGTTGGTCAAGAAACATACGATCCTTCGTAAAGCTAATTTCATAGAGATTCAACAAGCCAGAAATTACATTGTGATTGGTGACGTTTAGAGATGTTTGCGTGCACTTTTGTATCTTCATCCCAAGCTAAGCTAAGTGGCTGCCGGTTGTAGCCTCATATTACAGGACGACATCAAACTCTTAGCAAAAAGGTAAATCATTGCCAAACTTTTCCTTTAAATCTGACTTTTTATACATTACAATGACCAGAAAACCTACTTAACTCTTTTGGTACAAGAGTGTACACTGAAAACAGACATTTTCTTCCTAATCCTTCCTGTGACTTCAACAGAAGCTCCTGTTCTTCTCTGCTCAGGTAGATTCCCCACATAACAAAGCATTGCTATTAATGAAGATGGCCATCTCAGTCAATAAACTGCTGTGTCTGCAGAGCTTCTAATGTGGTCTGTCTGTCCTGGCAATTACAGAGCAGTGCAGTCGCCAGTCCAGTGCAGTCGCCAGTCCATCATCAGTAAATTAGCATCAGGACGTCATTACTGTGTTAAAACTATGATTCTCTTTTACCTTATGTGGCACATAACCATTCAGATACTCTAGTTTTGGCTTAATCGCTCAGATTTTCAGGGATCTGTTTCCAAAATTTCCATCCAAAATCCCAAAACACTGGAGGTGAGTGAGATGTTAACGATGCTCACAGTCTATAAATTTCATTAAGGCTGAATTACCATCCAGACAAAGAGCCCCAAAAGCACAAGTTCAGTTCAAATCATTTCTGTCAACATACATTTGTTACTAACACATTTGTGAGGAGCCATCAAAAGCTTTGCTGTTTTAATTAAT